GCCAAACCCAATGCTCTAGGCTCAAAAGTCTTAGGTCTGATTACAACGCTAAACTCAAAAGTAATATTTTACATATTCTCTTTAGCTATATACTTGTTAGGTGGTCTGCGCTACACCACGTGCCAATTTTTTTCATAAAAAATATCAAAAAAATCTAAGACCGAAAAGCGTTGAGTCTGTCTGCAAAAGAAAACCCAAGAGCCTTGGATCTAGTATTGCAGCCAAATCCAAGGCTCTTAGGGTCGGCGTTGCAGCTAAACCCAATACTCTAGGCTCAAAAGCCTTAAGTCTGATTACAATGCTAAACCCAAAAGTAATATTTTACATATTCTCTTTAGCTATATACTTGTTAGGTGGTCCGCGCTACGCCGCGTACCAACTTTTTTTTCCATAAAAAATATCAAAAAAATCTAAAACCGAAGAGCGTTGAGTTTGTCTACAAAAGAAGACCTAAAAGTCTTGGATCTAGCATTGCAACCAGACACAAGGTTTTTAGGGCCGACATTACAGCCAGACCCAACGCTCTAGATTCAAAAGTTTTAAGTCTGATTATAACGTTAGACTTAAGATTAATATTTATAAAATTAATTATAATACTAATAATACTATTTTTAACATTAATAATAATATTGAACTTATCTTATCCAAATTCTTATAATTTTTAATCCCTTCAAATCAAATTTATGGTTTTTCTTCAATAATAATAATATTTTATTTTAAATTTAATAATAATAATAATAATAATTTTGAATTTTACTCTTCAAATCAAATATATAGTTGTTTTTTAATATTAATAATATTTTTTTAAAAAATATTAATTATTATATTAATTATAATAAAAATAATTATATTAAAATTCAAATGGATTATTTTATCTTCAATCATTCTTTTAATGTCAAATATATCTCGTTAGAAAAAAAAAACCCCACCCCTCATTGCATGCTTAATAAGTTTTGATGGCAAAAATAATTGTGATTATACCATTCTAATCCATAATAATTTATGTATAGATAAATAATAAGAAAGCACTGATCACTCATATGATCGTGCTTTTATATGTCAATCTTTACAAAAACTAGTTGTGAAACTTCATGCCCTATTCCAAGTGCTGGTATCCACCGGATGCAGAAAGATAACATCTCTACAAGAACATGTGGTCATGGACGGGGGCAGAACCAGGGGAGGGCCAGACCCCTGCAAAATATTTTATATTTTTATATTTTTAGTGTTTAAATATAAAATAATATAATATATTTTTATTCTAAATAAATAAATTTTTTAATGATAAATTATATTTTAACTTTTGACACTCCCTGTTATATAATTCCAGCTCCACCAATGGTCATGGAAAAATAAATATACGTGAATTGCTTAGTTTTGCTCAGAAATTTTCATGAAAAAGACAGCATCGAGAGAACGCGTTATGAAATCAGCCAAAGTTTGAAAAGTCACTGCCTTTACTCGAAACATGATTAGATGATCCTAACAACTATAAAACATGTTCATTTACATACCAAAATTTTCAGTTTTTGGTACTTCTATCATCCTTCAATTTTCCCCGAACACTCTAATAGAAATGAGTGGTGCTTCTTATTCATCATCATCATCATCATCATACCCAAATGGTTTCGATTCATACCCGAAAGACCTATCAAGTGAAGTGGAAACGTTTAATTCCTCAATGAGATGGGCAATAGCATCCTCAATTGGTAAGCAACTTACTAACTGTTGCATAAGTTTCATGTTTTCTTATTTTGAAAAGCTAGGTGTAGGACCCGTAGTCTTGATGATGATATCCTCCATATTTTTTCAGTTTTAGGAGTGGTGTCAACGGTGGCACTTGTAGCTATTATATATGCCATCATCGACTGCTTGAAGAAAACAGGAAGTGCAATTCCAGCTTATGCCCGGATTGCAAGCAATGAGATTGTTGGTAAATCTACAAAATCAGAAGGCCCAAATCCTTCGTCTGATCAGCATGTGGAAATAGCAGTGGAACCAGAATTCCCATTGATTCGAGACTCACAGGTTGAATTTGCAACAATGGAAAGATTCCTTAGTAACATGGCAAGGGAGAAACCCATCAGGTTTTCACCTCAGCAGATACAAGAATTTACTAATGATTGCAGCACGATATTGGGTTCAGGTGCCTTCGGAGTGGTTTTTAAAGGAAACTTCCCAAATGGAATCCCAGTAGCCGTTAAAGCTCTCTCTAATCATTCAAGTAAGAAACTTGAAGAGCAGTTCATGGCAGAAGTGGGCACCATGGGAAGAACTTACCATGTCAACCTGGTTAGACTCTATGGCTTCTGCTTTGATCCCTCTATGATGGCACTAGTTTACGAGTACATGGAGAACGGATCCCTCAACAGCATACTCTTCAATGAAACCCGGGAGATAGAATGGGTGAAACTGCAAGAGATTGCAATAGGAACCGCAAAAGGTTTAGCATATTTACACGAGGAGTGTCAACAAAGGATAATTCACTATGATATAAAGCCCGAAAACATACTTCTTGATGAAAATCTGAATCCCAAGGTCGCAGATTTCGGACTAGCAAAGCTGTGTAATAGAGAAAGGAGTGAAGTAACACTGAGTGGTTTTAGAGGGACACTGGGATATTCTGCTCCAGAGGTATGGCATCGAACTCATCCTATTACTCACAAATGCGATGTTTACAGTTTTGGAATCCTTCTTTTCGAGATAATTGCAAGAAGACGACATTTTGATGAAAGTCTTCGCGAGTCTTTCCAGTGGCTCCCAAGATGGGTATGGGATATGTACAGGAATAGTGAACTGCCTATTTTGCTGTCACTCTGTGGGATTGAAGAGAAGGACAAGGAAAAGGCAGCGACAATGTCTACTGTGGCTCTGTTATGCATTCAGCATTCACCAGATGCCAGACCTCAAATGAGTGATGTGGTGAAAATGTTGGAGGGAAACATGGAAATAATGATGCAGCCTGGAAATCCATTTGAATATCTTGAATCAACTCGGCCGAATTACGCTCTGGATACCGGAAGCAGTGGAGACATGAGCACATCTGTATGAAGGACAAGCGCTTCCCAGCAATCTCATTGTAAACATAACATGCCTGGAACTTTAGAGATTGAGTTAGCCAGCAAATATTAGTTCAGTAGATATTTTTATATGCTAATTTTCTATTTTTTTCCATGTTGGAAGCAAATATATGATTATATTTTTTTGCATATATGAATTCACTGCAGAGTTGTTCGTTTTAAATGCTCAAAACGATCTTCACTCACCACTCAGTCTGCGCATGGTTTCCAAGTGTTTCATCTCTAGGATAGCCGTTTGCACTGTTTTACCAAAAGCTGGATTTTGTTGCATGAGAGAATACTAGTTACTTACTAGCACAATCCTGCACACGTCATTAGCCCCACGTTACTTCCAGGAAAGCAGAACAGGAAACCAAGAAAACAAAATGAAAACTACAAGCATTTAAAATGATCCTGCGTGCACGTCGTAAGTTACTTTTTAAAGTTTTTTTATTTAAAAATATATTGAAAAAATATTTTTTACATTCAGATTCGAAAATATAAAAAAACTAATTCTTAACAAATCTCCGATTGGAAAACATGTAAAGTTTCATTTTCTTAAATGAGGGGTGTTGAACCTTCGTAGAAGTTCTTTCTCATAGAATGTGTATTGAGTTCAGACATAAGTCTTCGGATTTGTTAGGACGCAGACAAAATTTTTGTTTTTATTGCTCTTTGTAGCTTCTTTGTGGTTGAGTAACACGGCGAGCACCGTTCACTCAACAAGACTAACATGCATTATTGTATTATGCCACGCCCTCTTTTCCATTCCTTGTGTTTGACCATTTGGGGACAGGTTTGTTTCGTCAACAAATGTCTGGGTGCCTTCTCCATACTGCCCTTCATTAAGCCCACATGCATGCTTCTTTTGCTAGGTTATCTTGTGTTTCGAAAATATTTTTGGGTTTTGATTTTTTTTGAATAAAAAAGAAAAAAAATAAAAAATAATTTTATGAATCTAAAATTATGTTATGATAATTTGAAATTGACATTAAGCTGGAGAAAAAATACAAGAACACCAGAAACACTCATCAAAGACAGTAGGACTGAGTCATATTTTGAGAAGTCAAAAACTCATTTAATTCTTTAGTTGATCAAATGCCAATCTGTAGGGAAGAAACGAGGAAACGGTGTATGGTTTCTTTTATAACCTTTTGGTTTGTCCACTATTGTGAGCTTCCGTTGCGTCCTCAGCTAAGTGAGTATGATAGGTTTGTCGCAGAATATAAACTAGATGGTTATGACAGCGTGATGTTTACGTTAATTAATTCAACTATAATGTAATCCGAATGAGCCCTCCCTTTTCGTCTTTCCAAAATTCAACAGTTTACAAGGTTCGATGTGTTCGTTCACAGCAACGTACAGAGAAGGCAGACACAGACAACTTATAATTTCACCTTGCATCAGCTTGAAGCCATGAATTTTAATCTTATAAAAACAATTATGGAGGAAGGGTGACGTCCTGTTTCTGAGAAATTACGTCGCAGTAGTGATTGATAAGAGTGGCAAACAACAACGTCATTTTAATAGTGTTGAAAAACAAATCTAACCACGTTTTTTGGTTGGTTATGAGCTCTCTGGCTTGGCGGCATCACAGCTTGCTGCTCTCAAAGTTATACTTCTTAACTAGTGGATACCTTCGCAATGAGCTATCATCTTATTGTTTGACTTGGGATTCATGATTTCTGGATGACCTTCAAAGAAACTTGTTACTATAATTAACTATCCGGAAATAAAATTTGGGGTACAAAAATTAGCCATTTCTTTAATCTGTAGCATCCGTTCTCTGTTGCACATCGACTTCAGCTACAAAAAACATCTCCAAAAAGCGACCAGCAGAAACAGCAATCAGACGATTCAGACCAATCCCAGGCCTGCTCTTCATCGTGGCGGCCTCATGCATCGTAGGTGCATACTCGAATTCTTGATACTATATACTCATTGCAAATAATACTTTAGTTAAATTAAAGGTGCAAAGACATCACAATACATCCTTGCAACTTGATAGTACTGTTATTAGATTGCAGATAAACAGAGTACATGACAAATATTGGGGCATGAAAATTTTGTGAGATGACATATTTCACAGCCTAGTGCGCAACCAATTTCCGGTAAGCTGCTGCAGCAAGTACAGAATTCAAAAGAGCATATCCCAAAAACTTGCACGAGGGTCCCTTCAAGCATCCAGATGCATTTCTGCTATCCCATTACCTTCTATAGATACGCTATGTAAAGGAGATTCATCAGGTCTTCAATGTAAAATCTGCATTTCAACAATCTTTCAGCTCACAAAAGTCAAGTAACATGTATCTGGTAAAATAGAAATATATTTGAAACCCTTATTACCGGACAAGCCATGCTACACTCTCTGTATTTTGCTAGATATTTCTTCGGCTTTTGCACCTTCCTTTTTCTGTCATCCATGAAATTAAACCTCATAAGATATTCATGCACAATCATTAATATGTCCAAGTCCAAATCCAACAAAGTAAGAGCAACATAAGCATCATATGAAAATAACCAAAACAAAACTAGTTAGCAAATGAGACATTCACATCAGTTTCCACACCAGAACAAACAATTGCCACGTCCATGATTTTTGCCAAATGGATATAAAGCAAAATCATAATTGGAGAAAGAGATCCGCTTCCTTCACGACTTAGTATGAGAAAACAGGTCCGGTAAAATTCAACGACCCAATGTCAAAGTGATCTCATTTATCAAGTAATTTCTGGCTACAAAATAATGGAATTTACCCAAAGAAGTTGCTTGGTATTTAATTAGATGGTATCAAAGTTCATTTTTCTTCTTCCTTTTTTTTTCCCCTAAAGGTAAAGACAAGAATGTAAGGAAAATGAAATATATTGAATTAAACCCAGTTCATGAGGTGGGTTAAGGATTAAATTCCTCCCTAGATTCAGCTTCAACACGTATCAAACTTAGGGTCATAATCACATCAGCCTCATGCATCAACTTGCAGTATCCATACATAGCATGCTAAACAGGATAAAATCTACCTCTTAGTGCTATTCAAAAAAGCAGCCAAAAGGAAGGGGAGGCATATCTATGTGTTGAATGCAAACAAACAAACAGAGGTATTTGCTGGCCCAGGATTATAAATTCACTTATTATGTGCTACGGATCCTCAAGCCTTTCTTAATAATTTCAATCTGAAACAATATATCATTGTCTGTTGCATTAAAAGGGAACTAATCATTTCCTTGGGACTGCTTATGAAAAAATGTGTTCCCAGCATACATCTCCCTCTTCTTTTACTACCACTGCCTAGGTTATCCATCCATTTCAGCATCTAAGATATGCAACGTTAAGGCCCTAGTTGCCACAATTGGAAAATATTTATGTTGGTTGCAACTATAGACTATCACAAGTCATAATCAAAACCAACTCTTCTGAAATTTCTCATAATAGCTATTTGAGATCCTACGAATAGCATTGATGATCCTATATCTAAATGATCAGTGACCTTAGATCTTTCTTTAATGCTTATAAAATACAAGCACATATAATAGAAATGCATTATAAGTGGATGCATGATATTGATCTGTTCCATAGAGAACTAGAACTATTGTTTTATTTTGTATGACATTTTAGCAGCCTTGGACATGAGAAAAGTTCAAATACATCAACAATAATGCATCAAAATAAAAATAACTTTTAAAAAAAATCAGTTTGACATAACAAAGTGCAGTGCTTAGAGTTAGTTTGAAGCACGAGTATACATCAGTTAATAACCACGATAATGCTTTACCGCATGATTATCTTGTATAGTCTTCCATGTCATTATAAGTTTCAAGTTGGCATGATGTTTTTCTTTCCAGACCTTGCTTTCTAATTTTTCTACTTTTCATATCCTAAAAATTGAAGACTGATACTCTCACCTAATAAAAAACTGCAATTCATCAATTCTTACACTTTAATTTCCCATCAGTTGGCACAAAAAGTACAGCTCATATCTATTCTTACACTTTCCTTTCCAACCAGTGGTTCATTCCTCTATCACTTTGAACATTCATAGATCTTCCTATTCAGGACAACAAGTTAAAGCACAAAAATTAAACCATCTTTCAGCCAGTTATGATGAATTGAGAGTAGGCTTTGCATTAAGGGAAGTTGGGACAAGTTCCAAGATATTAGAGCTCTAAGGAACTCAGATCTCAGAAGTCCCACCTGAGATTGGATGCAGGACCACCGTGCAAAGCCCTGTAGGCTGAAAAGTCTGTCAAACTTACACTACTTCAAAAAGCTTATTGCATGTATACGAAGCAAGCTAGGAGTTGCTTTGAGGAGATGTCCTAAAACAATGTCTCTATGTTGTTGAGTAAGCAGACAACATCATTTGAAGAGGCTGCTGCTGATAACTAAGCATTTTGGTAATCAAGGTAACAAAGCTCCTGACATGAGTGCAAAGGTGCAAAATTAGCTCCCTAAATTCTTTTCCTACGCCAAAAAAGCTTACCAAGAGGGTCTTTTTTTAAATAAACAAGGCATTTTGCAGGTGCTCCTGCTTCTGCAATAACAAGTCCTAATGGAGAGAATAACATATCAACCTATTCAGTGCAACCACGTCCTTGAATTGATATGCTAGTGAATGAACTAGCGTGCAGTAACACAACCTTGAAGAGCATATTGCAGCAGTCTTCACAAGATAACCCTTCACAATCAAATCACTTTGTTTGAAAGGCTCAAACAAGAACAAACTCTACATATTGTAGAACAAAAGAAAACAAAGAAAGCAATTGCTTATACGCTACTTATCATTTTAGCTTCAACAATATTAAATCCCCACCAAACCTGGTTAGAACATTCAATTATGTAGTTAAAACTAATTTTGAACCACAACATTAAACGAAAACAAACATATGATGATCACGATGTTGCTTATCACAAGGCTGTAAATTAACATAACAGATAATTAATGAACAACAGAAGCACCATACAAGAAATCTCAAGCTTACCAAGCCCTTGGTCTCATAGTAATCATCCAAAGCCCACTGATACTTTGATTGATTTAACCCAAGCCACCTTGCCAAGTGGTCATCGAGGCTTGAATGTGCTGCAGAAGAAAGCAAACCCTTTAATCTTAGAGCAAGATTAAGTGAATGCTAAGAGTAACAGTTTAGAATACCAGAAAGTCCCAGCTTTTCCAAAAGCAACAGAAACCCAAATGCAAAGCAAAGAAAACGGAACAAACCATTTTGAACTTTGTTGACAGCATTTTTGAAGAAGCCAAGAACAGACCCATCTGAGACCTGTTGGGAATAAACAGACTTGTCAATTTGTTGAGGAGGAGGTGAAACAACCTTCTTAGGTGAATCAAAGACAGGTAATGTGGATTCCTTAGAAGTAGTATGAGGAGGAGGCTTAGGACTAGGAGTGGAAGGTGGGGTCATGAACACAGTGTATGGCCCAATTTTGCCGATCATGGGAGGCGGTGCTAAAGGGTCTTTATTGATTGGCATTTTCTCGTTTCTGAAACTGAAGGAGAAGGGAAATTGAAGGAAAGCAAGAGAAGATAGGAACGGGGTTTGCTTTTTGAAGAAGAAGAAGAAGAAGAGTAAAGAAAGAGTGAGAAAAGTGAAAGTAGGAAAGTGCGCAAGATTCTAGGGAGTTGGGTTGGCAATGTGAAGCGAGAGGATATGTAACTGTGAAGCAGTGCGCACAGCCCAAGCGGCTGGATCTTTGTCTTTTGAGGTAAGTACAGTAAGTATCCTATTTTTATTTTTATTTTTATTTTATTTTATTTTATTTTCTAGAAATCTTTTCTTCTTTTTTATATACTGCTACTCCTTTTCTGGGGGGGTTGGAATGAGGGTCTCTCTCTCTCTCTCGGTTCATTACCCATCTATGTACAAATTAGTTTCTACGTGAAATTATTGTGGAAAATAGGGAGTAAATAGTATGATTCCTCCCTGCACCCTCTTGTCATTTTAACAATAGAATTTGGTGGATTGTCCACGCGTCGCTGCGAGGCTTTCTTGTTAGCTTCGACATGATAAAATCTAAATTTGCCTAGTAAGAGGTATAAAAAAACAAGAAATACCGCACCAATATGCAGTGGCCAGGCAATGGTAGCTTTAGGTGAAAAAGATATTCCATGAATAAGAAAAATTAGTTAAAAATAAAATTTTTAAATCAATTTTACCACTCCAATCATGAATTTATTAAATCATAAAACATAAATTAATCAAATATATTAATATTTTAATATTTATAAAAAAAATAATTTTAAATTAATTTTTTAAGCTAAATATGTTATTTACTTATTATCTGGGTTGCTTATAAATTTATTGGATCAATTGAGTTATATTAAAATAATTTTTAAATTATTTAATTTTAAATTTAATTTAAACAAGGTATTAAGTAATAAGTTGAGAGTTGTTAAAATTGATATGTTGGGTTAAATTTTATAATAATATTAAATAATTTTTTATGACTTGAATATTTTTTTAATGTTTAAGATTATTTTAATTCCAGCCACAATGAAGTATCCTATAAATTACTATTTACTTAAGAAACCTGGGAAGAATAATATATTATTACAAATGATATGATTTAGTGTTATTTTCACTCTAAATTTCACTAGGGGTGAATTTGACTTTGTATTATTTTTTATTTAAACAATGATTCAATTATAATTCAAATCATATAATTTTAAAAAAAACCTTTTTATTATCAAAATATTTGGTATCATGATTATATAATTTTTTTTCAAAAAAAATTTGAGCATACAAAAAAATAAGAAATAAAACATGTTTGGACATTCATTAATATGTTTCTAGAAAAAAAAGTTATTGAATGCCTAGATATTCATCGTGGAGCAAAATACATTACACTATAAAGTGCTACAATGTAATAATATTTTTGTCCTCCACAATGATAGCTAAAGAAGTATAAATTGAGGAGTAAGGTGGTTATTTTATAGAGTTCAATTGGCATTACCAAATTAAATGAGATGAATTAGTCTTTTTTCTTTTTAAAATAATAAAAAGATTTAATTACCCTTGAAAAGGAAAAAAAAAAGCTAACATTAATCTTTTAATTTTTTTCAAAACAATAAAATAATTTAATTAACTTAAAAGTACAAAAAAATACTAAGGTTTTGTGGAGAGGATTTGTTATCTTCTTATTTTTTGAATAGTAAAATAATAGATTTATCCATCGAATTAAAAAACTAAGGTTGTTATCTCAAAGGCAATTTAATCTTTTTTTATTATGATTTTTTTATTGTTATTATTTTCAGTTAGTGGCAATTTGATATCTTTCAAAACATCAATATTATTAAAAAAAATTATTAATGTTTGAATGTTGCCCGTGTCCATTGCATGATGCGTGAAACTTAAAAAAAAAAACAATAATCGTGTTGTTCAATAAGTCTAATGAAAGCGAAGTTGATGGAGGCAGCTCGTGTATTTAAAAACACGATAGTTGCAAGTGAGGTTCTGGCCTAGCGGTGGGAGGGGCTTGTCCCTTTCCTCCGCACCTGGGTTCGAACCTCACCATGCACGCCTGTCACCCCCGCGGTGCCTTACTTGCTCACTGAGCTTGCAGGATGTTCAGTGAGCCGTGGGGATTAGTCGTGGTGCGCGTAAGCTGGCCCGGACACCCCATGTAAATCAAAAAAAAAAAAACACGATAGTTAGAAGATTATGAATTTTTTCTCTCTCTCTTCTAATATTAGGATTCATGTCGTCCTTTTAAAATTCAATTGTATCGATTAATTTGTATTTATTTTAATTTTATTTTTTAATAATTTGATTGTTATTTGTGTTGATTTTAATTCTTTTTATTATTTTTTTTTAAATTTTTCTCAAGCATTTTATTTTATCTATTTTTTATATTCAATTTGATCCTTATTATTTTTATTAATGTTTTTTCATTTTTTTCTTCATTTTTTTTAATTTTCCCCAATATTTTATTTTATTTAATTTTTGTATCCAATTATGATCCTCTTTATTTTGATTGATATTTTTTTTATTTAGTCCCTAATTATATTATTTCATTTAGTTTTTATATTAGACTTGGTTATTATTTATTTTGTTTTTTATTTTTTTATGATTGAAAAATTTGCTTCATTTTTGTTTTATGTTTAACTTTTACGAAGTAATCTTAATCTCATGATCTAAATAATTGATCTTGAATATTATCTTGATTTAAATTTAAATTTTTTTTATATCCTTGTTTAAAAATTAATTTGTTTTTAATTTTATAATTCAACATTGAGTTATTGTCTTTGATCTTTGTGATTTATTCTATTTTTTTTATGAGGTTATTCCAATCTCATATACTAAATAACGGATTAGTTGAATTAACCTGAGTTTATTATAAATTTTTTTCTTAATACTTTTTTTATAAAATTAAATTTTTTTTATCATTTAACATTAAATTATTGTTCCTTGAACATTGTGATTTTTTTGCTATTTTTATATGGGGTTATTATGAGTGCAAGTTAGTCAAGTTAACCCGAGTTGAATTAAGATTTTGTGATTTTTTTGCTATTTTTATATGGGGTTATTATGAGTGCAAGTTAGTCAAGTTAACCCGAGTTGAATTAAGATTTTGTGATTTTTTTGCTATTTTTATATGGGGTTATTATGAGTGCAAGTTAGTCAAGTTAACCCGAGTTGAATTAAGATTTTGTGATTTTTTTGCTATTTTTATATGGGGTTATTATGAGTGCAAGTTAGTCAAGTTAACCCGAGTTGAATTAAAATTTTGTGATTTTTTTGCTATTTTTATATGGGGTTATTATGAGTGCAAGTTAGTCAAATTAACCCGAGTTGAATTAAGATTTTTTTATTTTTTTATTTTAATCTTATATCGCATATAAAAGAATAGTTAAGTTAACCCATGCTGATACAAGTTTTTTTTTTTGTTTTTTAATTAATTATTAAATTTTATTATTTAACATTAAATTATTAAACTTGAATTTTGTATTTTTTTTCTTCAAATAACTCAGGTTATCATTACCTAAACATTATTATTTTTTATGTTAGAAAAAATGTACCCTAACCATTACATAACACAAACCACTCATCTAATTAAAATCAATGACAGTATTGAAAATAATAAGGGCGAAGTTTATCACTCAGCAAGTTAGTGCTGGCACAGATAAAACATTTCAAAACCAACCTCAAGTACCTGTTAGGCTGTTCGTTTCTTTCTGTATGTTTCAAAAATACATTTATTTTAAAAATTATCAAATTAATTTTTTTTAATATTTTTCACAAATTTTAATACATTAATATAAAAAAAAACTTATAAAAAAAATTATTTTAATATATTTTTAAATAAAATAAAACACATTTGTAAAACTAAGGAATGTAAATCTCAAACTCTTGGAAGTTATTAACAAGTTATTTGTCTATATATAAATATAATCTCGTTAATTTGTCTATATAAAAGTTAAATTATAATTATTTTTTAAAATATTTATTATTTAGAAATATATTAAAATAATATTATTTTTATTTTTTTAAAATTATTTTTAATATCAACATATCCAAATAATCTAAAAACAATAAAAAAATATTATTTTAAAACCAAAAAAATAAAAATAAAAAATTTTAAATTTAATATTTTTCAAAAATACCTTTTACATGGAAAATAAACAGGCCTACAAATCATGCAGCACGCTACTAATATTATAAACATGCACCACTTTTTTTCTTGGTTTGAACCTCTGTTTGTTTAAGATTACAGAGCTGCATTAAGCCTACAAATATTAATAATACCAACCAGTCTATCGAGAGCCACTAACCTATCGAGGAAGAATCTCCATTGTGCATTTTGAACGGTACATTACATATGAACCTTACCAAAAAGAAAAATAAAACAGTTGCATGTCACCTTAGGTAAGTTCATGCCGGGTCAGAACTACTGGGCACAAGCAAATGCATTAATGGACACCACTTGGTACAGGAGTCCTAACTGGAGCAACATTCGTCAACTGTTATTAGTGACCGAAACAACAGTCTCAACTGAGTTTCCAACAAATGATCTCTGTTTTCGGGGTTGAGGGCTTATAAGGATTCCTTTGCCACAGCCTCCCATTGTACATACCTTGTGAAAATTAGGTGGCTGAACTTGCCAAAGACAGTTCATGGAGCTCACTCAGCATCCACTCCTCCCCAGTTTGACCACCAAGGACAATAGCCCTTGTCCCTCCAACAACACAGGTACTGTGCCCCCAAGCAAATCTTGGTGGTCGCCCAGGTACATTTAGAATCCTCCATGTAGGTTTCTCGTCAGTAGGATCAAGGAGATAAAGCTGCGAGGCAGAGTGAAGACCTGCAACTGAGCCACCAAAGATCAGGATTCTACCACCAGGAAGGCTCACAGCTACATGATCAAGTCTAGGTGGAGGAGCTATGCCACTAGGGTTTCCAGCACCAGGCATTCCACTCCCTGTTACACATCTCCAGCAAGGTTCCTCCTCACTTAGATCCATAGTAAACACGTCACTGGAGCGGAACCGAAGGGGACCGCTCTTAGCCAAACCCCCGAACATCAATATTTTTCTTCCTCCATAAACTGAGAGAGTGTGACCTAGCCGGGATGGTGGGGTCCATGAAACTGGTATCTCCCTCCAGATAGGCTTCTCCATTGACAAATCAAGCAGAAATGTGTCACTGAGAAGTACTCCAGAATCTGCACACCCACCAGAGACAATCAAC